CCATGAGGGGGTTCCATGTGAGAGTTTCTTAATTCTTGCCTAATATAATCCTGAACAAGGCACTCCATAATCCCCCTGCAATGACTATAAAACTACAGAATCTCTACAGGCTACCCTTTTCGACAGAAATCCACGTTAGTCCGGGGTTTAGAGTTTAGAAATTAGGGTTTAGGGTTGGGAGGGGGGGGTAAGTGCAGTATCGGAGTCGTAAGGTGCAGGTCGTCCAGAAGGTTGTGGAGATTCCCCAGGACCGAGATGATGGTCTGTTGGGAAACCTAAGTACAGAAAATCTTGTTCAGGGTACCGTTTCAAAAGTGGAGTTGTATCCAATATTCTGGTATCTTTGTTGCTTTTCTAAGGGTGGGGAGGTGAGTTTAGGAAGTGCTCACGGACCAGGCTTTGTCATGTAGGGTTCAGGGCTTTAGTGGTCTACAGTTGCAGGTCAGTTTGCGGTTTCTTTTTTCTTTTGAATTTGGGTTCAAAGGTTTAGGCCAAAGTGCTATCGGTTCGTAGTCCTTACACAGACCCCCTAATACTAGGGTTTATGGTTTAGGATGTAGGGTTTACAGGGTCTTTTTATCCCTTAAAACCCAGTCCTTCGCTTGTCCCCACCACACGGAAGACTTACACTTCCCCAAACTAACATGGAAACCCATATAGCCCCATTTTAGAAGGACTGTAGTATTTATGGGGCCCCTTTTGGGTTTCCATGTTAGTTCCCAGGAGTGTACTTTCGCCTGAGCCGGAATTTAGGCCCTGCACCTTGAAACCCCAGAGCGTAAATCATACCAGCATAGTCCTCCTTAAATAGATAGAATATAGCTTTGGGTATATTATAACCCCATGCCTACAGATTTATGGCAGGTTATACCCATGAATTAGGGGATAGTTTCTTCTAAGCTGTAGGTAATTGGGGTTAGCAGGAAGTTATACAGAACCTTTCAGAGGAAGCCGCGGCCGTGGCAGACTTGCCTGTTTTTCCCTGCCCCTAACCCCTAAAACTTAAACTTGCATGGAACCCAGTGTGACCCCCTTTGAAAGGACACTAATTAGCGTACGAGGGGCCTCTTCGCAGGTTCTATATGAGCTGTAGTCTAAACTCCTTAAAAGGGATTATCTAGGTGAGTATAAAAGGGGGACTACTATGGGGCCTAGTAAGGGGGATACTAGGAGTTTAGACAATATCTCCTATGAGTTTGGGTTCAGATCGTCAGGAACAGGTCCAGGTGGGTTGTTGCTATCTGGGTATCCTCATGCATGAATTCTCTAACGCTCGTAGGAGAATACTGAAGTTTTACCCCTAAACCCTAAACCCCTAAACACTAAACCCCAAATCTTTTGAGGCTTATGTAAGCAACCTATGCGGCTACCTGGACATCTCCTAGACTAGAAGTCTGACAACCAAGCACTGGAATCCGAAAACCCTGAACCTAAAACCTTACTCCCCTGAAACCTTGAGCCCTAAACCCTGACCTAAACTCTACAGCCCCTGAAACCCAGCCCCTCAAGGTTCAATGTTAGTTTGGGGAGGGTAGGGCTTACACGTGAAGGTTGAGGTGCCGGGTTTTTGCGATTAGGGTTGAGGGATTCAGAGATTTAGGCATGAGGGTTTAGAGTTTAGGGGTTTAGGGTTTAGCGGTTGTGGGTGTTAGGTTGAGGTTTTGATTACCCCAATTTTGGAGTATCACATGGAAAGAAGGTAGAACAGGACATGGAACCTGGGTTGAAAAGGGCTCGCACTTGGTAATAAGGGGATTTGGGATACAACAAACTCCAACAAGGACCATGGAACTATCACGCAATGGACTCTTTATGGGGCCGTTGTAAAGCAGTGTTTGCCCTGAAAGATCGGGCGGGGAGATGATCCCCATACCCTATCTCACAGGAACCCTCAGAGTGTCACTCGTACGTAGCATACTTGTGCCAAACCCTGCACGTTCCCTAAACCCTAAACCCAAACTCCTGAACCCCAAGCCTACCACTCCAGAACCTAGGGCCACAAATCTTAGACTCCCAACCTTGGAGCCTTCTGCTTTACACCCGAAAGGCCTTCAGTTTTGCGACCCCTTGGTAACTAGTACCTGGACCCCCCAAATATGTAGAATAATGGCCTTTTGGGCCATATTTAGGGGATTTAGGCCATTATTCTACCTACTGTCGGGGTTTAGGTATGGTTCTTGAATATGATGCCCAAGAGCTGTTGCCCTAAGCCCTAAGCCCTGCTCACCTTTGACCCAAAACCATGTGCCCAGAAAGTCGAAACCTAGGGAGCCCATACCTTCAATACATTGGAATGAGGAAATCTACCTTAATTCATATTAGGGTTCCTAGTATGATTTAGGGTATGGATTCTCATCACCTGGGAAGATCCCTCCAAACCCCAGACTCTAGACCCCAACCTCTTGACCCGAAACCCCAAACTTTAACCTCTAAACTCTTAACCCTAAGCCCTCAACTCTAAGCCTTAAAAACTCTCAACCCTAAACTCTCAACCTTAAACTCAAGCCCTAAACCCTAAACCCTAAACCCCAAACACCCTAAACTGCAGGAGGGCCAGACTCTTCAGGGTACGGTCCGCGAAGTGGACGTCCCTGGAGAGCCCCGCCGCGAGGAGCATAGCATTCTAGTCTCCCTTAAGTAGATAGAATATGGGGTATACAGGGTTTAGGGTTTAGGATTTATAAGGGTTTAGGGTTGAAGGTTTAGGATTTAGGGTTTAGGGTTTAGGGTATAGTCCCCCTTAAGTAGATAGAATATGGGGTAATGTTAGTATCTGGGGATAATGGAAAAGAAGATGAAAACTACTATAATGGGTTCTATAGGGTATAGAATATGGGGTATATGAGGATCTTGTTATAAAATACTCCAAAATCATATTCTATCTACTTAAGGGGGAGTATAGGTTTCGGCGGCTTCGAGCTTTGGGTTAAGGTTTATAGGGTTTGGGGTTTAATGCTTAGGGTATAGGATTTAGGGCTTAGGGGTTAGGGTTTATGGCTTAGGGTTTATGGTTTACGGCTTAGGACTTGGGGTTTAAGGTTTCAGGCTTAGGGTTTCAGGCTTAGGGTTTAGGGGTTCAAGCTTAGGGTAGAATGCCTCATGAGCCGTAGTAAGCCCTAACAATCCCTGTTCGGGCGGCCTCAGCTGATTCGGCCCATGTATTGGAATGGCGCATAGTAGCTGGGCCTGTAGGGGGGGGGAGGGTAGCTGTTTGGAGAGGTTTAGTTGTGTTCTTTTTGGGTGGCGGGGGGGTGGGGGCTGGGGTGGGACGGGGAAGGTTTGTTGGCTGGGAGTTGTAGCATTTAATCATTCGAGTGTTTCAGTCTTTGGGTGTTCTAGGATTGAGGGTTCTATGGGAAGCCAAGTGTTAGGATCCGTCTTCACAACTCTAGTGCAGGTGGCGGTGGGGGGGGGGGAGGTTCACTGGCCAGGAGATTGCACTGACGGAGGGAAAGCGCGGGAGTGTCACATGGTCGTAGATGCAAACCCGACATCTTATGCAAAACCTCCCCCCAACAACATCTTTTGTTTATTGACTTTATATTACAGGAACATAGGTTCCTAGTACATTACAGGAATATAGGTTCCTAGTATACTGAGAACTTGTAAGACATATATATATATATCTATAAATGTATTGGAATGTAGGTTCCTAGTATCCTAACAACCTTTATCTTATTACTAGGGTGGGTGGGTTGCAGTACTTGAGCAGGGAAGTACTGTAGTCTCCTCAGGAATACTTTTCATGTTCATGATATATAGCTCTAAGGAGTTATTTCTTCTAAGCCATAAACCCTAAACCCTAAAACCTTAAATCGCGGTTTAGGGTTTAGGGTTTGGGGTTTTATTTGAGGTCTAAGTGGACTACAGACTAGAGGATCGAGGGATGAGGGACTACAGGTTGTAGCCACAGGGTTGTGCTGTGGGATTAGCTTAGGGTTTAGGGTTCAGGGTTAATCAATTATGGGGCTCAAAACTTATTATTTGTTCTGAGGGTTGAATTTAGGACTCAAAGTTCAGTATCTTTTCTGGAAGGCGATTCCAAGAATGTTGGGGATCCCAAATGGGTCATTCTTGGACATTTGTTTTTTCAGCTATATGAAGCCCCAATTATAATTAAAAAAGCAACATGGCAATCCCCAACAGTATCCGACAAAAGAATCGGTAACAACACATGTGGGTACTTCCAGGATATTCCTTGCCAAGACGTGGTGTGATAGGGTTGTCAGAGAAGTTAATTGATGAATGTAGACCCCTGATTAATAAACCCTTTCTTTTAAGGACCTGAATATTAGGATCCCCATTAATTACCCTAAACCCTAAACCCCATTATGATCCCTATTGAAAAATTAAGGGGATGGGGTTTATTAATCAGGGGTCTGGGTTAGGCTTCAAGGCATGGATGTTCTGCGCAAGCAGTGCCATTTTAGGTTTTAGGGCTTAGGGTTCCCAAGATTAGGGGTACCGTTTTGGGTGCCCCCCCAAAGTAAGGACTATAGTATTCTGGGGTGTATATGGGGGCCAATCTATTTAGGCATTTCAGCAAAGATCAGCTTGTCTTTAGTGAGTGGCATGCATCTTTCTGTTAAGCGATAGAGATCCGCCTGGATGGCTTCTGCCGCCATGTTGCCCTCGCTCTCCAAAATTTCCGCAGGCACGAAGGTGGATACCGATCGAGCATGTAGAAGCCAGAACTATCAGGAGCATATTCTTGCGCCAGCCATTCTTTGATCACATTATATGCAGACTACAAATGAGGTCATCCGAACTATTATTCGGCTGCCACATCAAAATGTTAGTTCCCTTAAATATGGATCCCAATATAATACAATCCTTATTATAGGGACCTCCAAAATGGTACCTCTAATTTTGGGAAAGCCCTAAACCCTATATCCCTATATATCGCTATATAACCCCTTATAAAGTCCCCTATAAACCCCTTTAAGGTACCCCTAACTTTGGGAAACCCCCAAAATACCTTCAACGCTCTTTGTTCGGAGGAGCATCCGGCACAGACGGTGCAGCAGGCCAAAAGGGTCTTGTGGCTTAGGGCTTAGGGGATCTAGGGTTTAGTGTTTAGAGTTTGGTGTTTAGAGTTTATAGGGTTTAGGGGTTTAGGGTTTAGTGGACAGGGTCTACCTGTAACCAGAATTACCTACAGTTTGACGTTAGTTACTCTTAATTAGTACCCCCAATGACCTACAGTTTAATAGTAATTACCCCTTAACTAGTGCCCCAAATTTCCTACAGTTTAATAGTATTTACCCCTGGATTAGTAAGTATTATCCATAAAGCTGTAGGTAATTGGGGTCAGGGTCTAGGGCTTCAGGTTGTGTTATTGGCTTCTTCAAAGAGGGAGTTTGCTGGTCCCAGGGTAACTACTTGCCCGGAAAATCGCTGTCCCTTGTTCCAGATCTTTGTTCACGGAGTCCTGATACTCCAGGTATACGCTTAACAGGCGGTGTCCAGAACTACGATTTCACACGGAGCCCATGGTCCCTGCGTCCGCTATTTACCAGTACCGGCACGGGATGCGTTTCTGGACAGCCGTCAACGCCTAAATTGGCCTTGACCGTAGCCCCCAACACCCCGCAGACACAAGTAACCTTATGAGGTATGCCTTAGCTGGACCCCCCCACCCTGTACTAGCGACTATAAAAGACGTCCTCATATATATATATATATATTCCTATTTTACCAATATTACAGGGTGGGGGGGTCCTTATGAGATATGTGTATATATATATATGCCTGTTTTGTACGTAAGGGTTCTGGCAGAGATCTTGCAATGGAACCTCATAAGGGACACCTTCCAAACATCCCCAAATATCGAAGGTGCTCCCCATAGGGTTTAGGGTTTAGGGTATACATTTGGGTTCCCATTCCGACTTGTTGACATTGGCCAGTGGTGGGTTTGTTTACATTGCAGGGGAAGCTTTATTGTCCATGTGAAAGCAGTCCATGTGAAGTTCCTACACCCGAAACCCTAAACCCCACAAATACTTTAGCAACTCTAGACCCTAAACCCTAAACCCTTGAACCCTAAACTCCCATCTGCGTAAGGAGGCCTTATACTCCACAGCTTCATAACTCCTTTGGGCTGTAGCGAGGTAGTACAGAGACCCTATACCGCAAACCCGGTTTGTGGTTGAAGTGGCAACTCTAAACCTTAGAAACCCAAAGCCTAAAGCCTAACTCCCAACATCCCAAACCCTAAAGCCGAAAACCCCGAAGTTTACAACCTAATTCCTCAACCACCAAACCCTGAACGTCTGAACCCTCGAACCCCAAAAGCCTAAATCCTAAACTGGCCCTAAACTAAACCTGCAAACCTCCAACTCCCCCCCCCCCCAAACACGAGGTGTTGGCCGGCCCTGACCATCCCGTGGAGGTTGTGCAGGGCCAGGCCTGCGAACAGGGAGCACTGTATAAGGGTTTAGGGTTTAGGATGCCCAGCTTTTGAGTTTTGGGTTCAGGGTTTAAGGTCTAGGGGTTTAGGGTTTAGGGGGTTATATGGAGTTATATCGGGATATGTATGTATATACTTCCCCGAGAATGGAGAATCAAATGGACAAGAAAATGGAAAATGACATGGAAACTGGGGGTAAATAGATCCATCAAGGGAAACCCAATTGTTTTTCCTACAGTCCAAATTCTCTTAACAGGGGTCATATAGTTTTTAGGGCTTAGGGTCTAAGCTTTAAACAGGGTCATATAATGGACAACTATAGGGGTGCTTAAGGGGGATACTAGGAGTTTAGACTATGGAACTTTAGGGTTTGAGGATTCAGGCTTTATCCGCCTGTAGTTGTTTACAGGGATTGTGGTCGGGGTTTACCTCCACCCCCAAGGACCTACAGCTTGGTAAGGGGCATGTAAGTCTCCACAACGGGGTTGCATCAGGGATGTAGGGCTTATACACTAAATACTGAACACTAAACACTTGTGTAATGGAGAAGACTAATGCAACTTGTGCGAGGCAGAGCCCATCAGGCCCAAAGAAAGTGTAGACTTGAATAATGAAGAATGTGATATGAGCTATAGTCTATAGTCCTAGTATCCCCCTTAATAGCCTCTCTAATAGCACTCTATATCATCCCCTTATATTACCCCCTTTAAGGAGTTTACATTATAGCTCATATGCAGGGTTGTTAGCATGGTCCCCTAGGGATGCCCAAACTATTTCAGCCCCTCCATTAGCTGCCCTGGCATACAATAAGAGGAACCCTAAAGACCCTAAAGCTTAAGCCCTTAAACCCTAAAATCCTTAAACCCGGAAACCCCGAAACCCTAAACCCCTAAACCCTTAAAGCCTTAAACTCTTAACCCTAGTGGTCTCGCAAAGTAGCTGCACCTCTTTTACTACATCCTTATCTTTACACAGAGGCTTCTCAGGGGGCAGAGGTTGCACCCTCAAGGTGCGATAAGGTTGTGCCCTCTCCTGAACTAACTTTCCTGGGTGTTAAGGGGTACCCTAACCCTAAACTCTAAACCCTAGGGTCGGTTGAACGGGCCTACACGGATGCATAAGGTATAGGGTTTCGGGTTTAGGGGGGTGAGCCTTGGAGTTATTTAGTGGGTTATCTCGATGTTGGGCACTGCCCCCACTCATGAACTTCTGGAAAATATGATATGATACTAGAGAGTCCTTCATATGACCCCTATTATAGACTGTTAATAGGTGGGGGCAGAAGCCAGAGGACAGTAGTGAAGGTTCAGGTCTACTTGGGCGAATGTGCCCGAAGCACACTTCTTTCCCTGGATACTTCCCAAGTAGGGTTGGGCCATAAGCCTCGCACCCTAAACCCTAAACCCTATACCCTAAGCTTTGGGCCATAAACCTTGAACTAAAAACCATGGACCCAAAAAACCTAGGGGCCAAAATATTGGGATTCAACGACCCACAAGCACGGGTTTAGGTTGGATTCGGCCCCCACTCAGTAATAGCTGGATAATACTATATTATAAGACTATATAGAGCCCTTAATATGACCCCTGTTATAGACTGGTTATAGACTGTTATTGGGTGGGGGCAGGAACCAGGGTTTGGCTTTAGGGCTTGGGGTGGATGGGTTTTGGGCTCAGGGCTCAGGGCTTTTGGGGTCTGAAGATTCAGGGCTAAACGCTGTAGGGTTTGGGATTCAGGATGTAGGGTTGTTAGGACCTGGCATTTCAGGGTTGGAGTCCCCATGTTTGAGATTTTCAGGTGTTTGGGTCGAATGCTCATCTAAACCCTAAACCCTAAAATCTATCTATCTATCTATCTATATACATAAGTATCCTGACATCCCTAGCTAGTCCGCAATGAAAGGGTAGTAAGAGTGCTGGGCCCTCTTCGTAAACCCTTAAACCCTAAACGCTTGACCCTGAATAGTAGTTTCCATGTTTTACTTTCCATTATCCCAATTCAACCCCTATATAACCCCATATATTATCGTGGTTTCTGTTCTCTTTTTCATTATCCCAATATAACCCCAACATAACCTTGCCCCAATATAACCCCAGTATAACCTCAACATTACCCCAATATACTCCCAATATAACCTTCAACCCTTAACCCTATATGTTCCCTATATATTCCCCATACAGCCCCTTTTAAAGCCTATCATTACCCCTAAACCCTAAACCCTAAACCCTAATGCATGCAGGTCACCGAGGCTCCGCAGGCTTTGCCCTTGCACTCTGTTTGAGGGATTGGAATACCATCCCCCCAAGGTACCCCCCAAGGCTTTAAGGAGCTAATAGGGTTTAGGGTTTAGGGTTCAAGGTACCCCCCAAGAATTTAAGGAGCTAATAAGGACTATACAGGGCTTGAATAAGGCCTAACAGGACTTCAAGTCTGGAGGGTGGGGGGACCTTAGCGGGGTGTACTATTTTAACCGTGACTGTTTTGTTGCCTTGGGACTTATCGTGGACCTTAGGGGTTATATAGGGATTACAATGTAAACTTTGGAGTTATAGAGAGATTATTTGGTATATTTTGGGGTTCTATAGGGATTATTTGGTGTATATATATATATATACACACACATATACATATGTAGAGAGAGAGGTAGGGGTTATATAGGGATTATAGGGTATATATTGGGGTTATATGGGGATAATGGAAACTGGAAACGACTACATTATAATGGGGTATATATGGGAATCTTGTAGCTTGGACATTAGACCCTTAACCCTCTGGGACTCCCTTATACTCCTATCATACCAGCCTAAAGGGTCAACCCTTAGTAGGGGTCCTAAGTGCCACGTAGTCCTTAAGCCCTAAACCCTAAACCCAAACCCTAAACCCTGAACAACCCTAAGCCCTAGGGTTAAACGTTGCGGGATGCTCAAGGCAAAGGATGTCGCTCAAGGAATTCAGGTTAAAGATTTACCTGTAACCCCAAGTACCTGAAGCTTCGTGGTATATATGATCCCTACGTAGGTAAAAAGGTCTAAGCTACAGAAGTGTAAGTTCTTGAGGTCATAGTAAGGGTTTCTACATATCCCCATAACCGTAAACCCTAGAATCTAAACCCTAAACCCCAGAACCCTAAACCCCGCTCAGCCCGCGCGTCTTGCCGCGCTTCCACATCACCAAAATTGTACAGAAGCACAAAACCCCTGTAAATACCGCACAAATCGGGGCTGGGACGGACTACAGGGGCTCTTAAGTTAGGATGATTTTTTACCAAAAAAACATCCTTCTGCATACCCTCTCAGCAAAATATGCGCGAAGAAAAGCAACATTTTCCTCGACCCGTGAACAGAATTATGGTTTGGGCATGGATGCTGCGGTGAGCGTATGCTCTTGAACGCGAACAGAATTATGGTTTGGGCATGGATGCTGCGGTGAGCGTATGCTCTTGAACACGAACGGAATTATTGTTTGGGCATGGACGCTGCGGTGATTGTATGCTGTTGAACACGAACGGAATTATGGTTTGGGCATGGATGCTGCGGTGAGCGTATGCTCTTGAACACGAACGGAATTATGGTTTGGGCATGCATGCTGCGGTGAGCATATGCTCTTGAACACGAACGGAATTTTTGTTTGGGCATGGATGCTGCGGTGAGCGTATGCTCTTGAAACACGAACGGAATTATGGTTTGGGCATGGATGCTGCGGTGAGCGTATGGTCTTGGAACACGAACGGAATTTTTGTTTGGGCATGGATGCTGCGGTGAGCGTATGGTCTTGAACACGAACGGAATTATGGTTTGGGCCTCCCCATCGCAGCTGGCAGCACTGGGGGGGTTTATGGGGGGGGCCTCTGGGGGGAAAAAAGCCTCTGGGGGGGGCCTCTGGGGGCCTCTTGGGGGGGGGCCTGTGGGGGCGTCTCGGGAGATGGGGGGCCTCTGGCGCCCCAGAGGCCCCCCGACAGGCCCCTCCTACATTACGGAGGCGCTTTCGCGCGGAGGGCGCGCAGAATTTGCGTCCTAAACGGCAGCGTCATATGGCCAGCGCAGGGTATTCAACATGTGGTTTCCTGCGGCGCAACGTCTGGGCTGAGGGCTAAACCCTAAACCCTAAAAATCTAAACCCCTGTCACCCTAGAGTTTATAACCCTAAGCCCTATAGCCCCTTTTTAAGTAGATAGACTATGGTGTAATATTAGGGCTATATTGGGGATATATGGGGATCATGGAAAAGAAAATGGAAGCTACTATACTGGGTTATATAGGGTATAGAATATGGGGTATATGGGGATCTTGAAAGAATACACCCAAAGCCATCTTCTCTCTACTTCAGGGGGATTATAAATCTAAACCCTGGATTCCTTGAAGGATTCCTGAGGGTGCCCCTGTTTAGAGGAACTCGAGATTTCATTATTAAGGTTCCTCCGAACAATGCCCAAGACAATCACGTTTATGGTCAGGATGTAGGGTTTTCAGACTAGGGTTCCGGGAGTTCAGTTGTCTGGTTTCACAATACCTTGCGACGACGGATATTGCGCTCTGCACAGCCAGGTAGAACCTCCGTATAGGTTGCTTTCAGTATACTTACCACTAGTAAAGTACACCCTTGAGAGTGGCACCTTGTGCCATTCTTTCAATGGCCCTGCCAGGCACCCAGCATCCCTGGGGCTCTATAGACAATACCTACTTTGTGGTCCAATCTTTATAGACCCTCCTCCTACCCTCTATTAGGGCCTAAGTACCCACTATTAGGGACCAGATATCCCCAATTAAGGGTACAAGGAGGGTCCTGGTTTATAGATGTTACGTACATTGAGCTATTTGGAGCCCTAGGCGGACGCCTTCAAACAAACCTTTTATCGTCCCAAGGTACCTTTGTCAGAAGGTCGTCTCAGTCATCTTGCTCTCCTCCATGTCCACTGTATGTTATGATGCCGTCCTAGATCCTGAGAGCATGCCGAGGGCTTTCAGGGACAGCTGTAGGTGTTGGAGGCGCATTGGGTCAGAGGAAGCACGTCGCCATTACCGTGGCTAACACCCCAGACAGTCTGAGAAGTGAACTCGGCTTTGAAAAGCTGCTGTACTGTTAAAGGGGCAGTGTGAAATTCCACCCTCGCCTGAGCGAGTGTAAAACCATTCCACTGACACGAATGCCCTGCCACCTTCCAAGGTTGAATTTGATTGTCTTGGTGGTGTTTACGCTGAAGCCCAATGCTCCTCAGGCATCAGCGCCAACAACCATGACAATGCCTATGACGATGCCCTCCGAGGCGGGTTCAACTACGAAACGAGTTAGGGTTCAGGGCTCAACGTTTGGGATTAAGAGGTCAGAGACCAGGCTTCATTTATAGTTGTTAGGGGCATGAGGCTCCTTGTTGAAAAGTCTTCGCTGAATCAGCATCATGGTGACCGCAAGGGGCATCAGTGATGACCCCGAGAACACGACGATCTTTCACACTGGTTTTCCAGAGAAGGCCGACTTCAGCAGCTGGACGTGGTCGAGGGTTTGGGGGGCTTAGGGTTTAGGGCGAGATCCCCAGACGCACTGCAGGTTTTCCAAGTGATGAAGAGCAGCATCGACAGCTGGCTGGGCAGCAGCTGAGGAAGCCTGATGGCCAAACTCCGCTGATCCCCGAAGAGCCCGAGCCGAAGCCCTTAACGCGGTTTAGGGTTTAGGGTTTAGGGCCCCAAGCCCTAAACCCCAAAGAATCCCAAACACTACACCCCAAGGACTCCCGAACCCTAAGCCCTAAAGAACACCAAGCCCCCAGAACCCACATTTCAAAGAGCTTCAAACTCTAATCCCCGAAGGATGCCAAACCCTAAACCCTCAAGAGCCCCAAACCCTAAAAAACACCAAAAACACCAAACCCAAAAACCCCGAAAGAACCCCAAACTCTGAACTCTAAAGAACCCCAAGCCCTAAACCCTCAAGAGCCGCAGACTCTAGACCCTAAAGACCTCCAAACCCTAAACCCCAAAGTACGTGCTATTTGTAGACTCGCATCGCCAGGATAGCTTTTCGATTTGCACGCCCTAAACCTGACTTGAAGCTATAGTCAGAACTCCTTAAAGGGGGTTATTCCAGGGATTACATAGGGGACTATTCTAGGGCATATTAAAGGGCATACTTGGAGTTTAGACTTTTGCTCACTTGAAGCCCTGACCCTCGGACTTGAGCCATGCGTTCAGAAAGCTTGCATTGCTAAAGCTAGTTACATCAGTTCAAGGATGTGGCTCCTGCAAGCAGAAGTACTAAACTCTCATGTGAATAGTGTACCAGACTGGTGCAGCATCAGCAGCATACCATACATGACTCGTTGACTGCCATAGTAATCTGAAATCACAGCTGGTGTAGAAGCCCGGACGGTCACGCATAATCGTCCCTGCTGAGAACCCTTGTATACTTATAGGGCAATATATCGCAGACGCCATAAACCTTAAACCCTAAATCCCCAACCTTAAACCCAGACACCATCATAGTTTCTGAGACCAGTACAATTTTGGGGAAACAGTCATAGCAATCACAAGGATACTCAGCAGCGATCACTCCAAGCCTTAGGGTGTAGGCTTCGGGCTTCAGGTTTAGGATGTCAGGTTTGGGGTTTAGTGTCTTGGGTTTAGGGCGTAAGATTTAGGGTTGAGGCTTTCAGGTTTTTAGGGCTTAGGGCAACTCCAACAGACTGTTAGTGGTGTCAGCAGCTACCTGTGAACTGTAGGCTTAAAACCCTTCAGCCCTATGCCCTTCTTCCCCCAAATCACTGCCGCAGACCCCAGCTAGCAAAAGGACCCGAACCCTAAACCCTAAGCCCAAACCCTGTCAGACTACTAGTATGGCGTATATTATCGCCATTACTCTTCCTGCTATTTTCACTATTATTTCACTGTGATCGACATTACTACTACTGCGCTACTGGTTTTAGTTATGAAAAAAGGAACAGCGAAATACACCGTAGACCCTTGACCCTAAAGTCCTAAACCCAGTAATACGCGCGAAAAAACATATGAACCATTGTCTAAACTCCTAGTATCCCCCTTAATAAGCCCAATAGTAGTCCCCTATATAATCCCCTATATCCCCCTTTAAGGA